TGGTGGAGCCACAGGAACTCTCATTCATTGCTGGTGGGAATGCAAAATAGTACAGCCACTTTGGAAGACAGTTTGGAGGTTTCTTAAAAAACTAAACATACTCTTACTATATAATCCAGCAATCCTGCTCCTTGGTATTTACCCAAAAGAGTTGAAAACTTATGTCCACACAAAAACCTGCACACAGATGTTTATAGCAGCTTTATTTATAATTGGCAAAACTTGGAAACAACCAATATGTCCTTCCAAAGGTGAATGGATAAATAAACTATGGTGCATCCAGACAGTGAGATATTATTTAGCACTAGAAAAAAATGAGCTATTAAGCCATGAAAAGACGTGGAGAAAACTTAAATGCATGTTACTAAATGAAAGAAGCCAATCTGCAAAGGCTACATACTATATGATTCCAACTACATGACATTCTGGAAAAGGCAAAACTATGGAGACAGTAAAAAGACCAGTGCTTCCCAGAAGTGTGGGGTGGGGAGAGGAGGAATGAAGAAGCAGAGCTCACAGGATTTTTAGGGCAGTGAAAATACTCTGCATGAGACCATAATGATGGATACTTGTCATTATGCATTTGTCCAAACCCACAGAATGTACAACACCAAGCGTGAACCCTAATGTCAACTATGGACTTTGGGTGATTATGATGTGTCAGTGTAGGTTCATGAGTTGTAACAAATGTACCACTCTGGTGGGAGACGCTGATTATAGGGGAGGCTATGCATGTGTGGGGGCAGGGGATATATGGGAAATCTCTGTACCTTCCCCTCAATTTTGCTGTGAACCTAAAACTGCTCTAAAAAAATAAAAAGTCATTAAAAAAAAAAACAAACCTCTGTCTCTTTATCTTCCTTGTTCTTCTTGGTTGGAGGAAAAAAAAAAAATCACAGGGTGATCTCCACTCCAGGAACTGAAATGAGTGGAAAGTAAACTCTACGAGGAGTACAAACTGGTAATGAAATCTAAATAGAGCCACCTGTTGACAGTGGGGCCACTGACAGAGCCAGGCTTTCTTGAGCTGTGACGCAAAATGATGGTGGCAAAGGTGTGGGCTTAGGGGCCTGGCTGTTGTTTCAATCCTGCCCCACGGTTTAGGAGCTAGTGGCCTTGAACGTTACTTAGTCTGCTGTGCCTCCGTTTACTCATCTGAAGTCTCACAGAGGTGTTTGGAGGATTCGATGAGATGCAGCATGCCAAGTCCTGGGATCCAAGTGTGTGGCCCACAGCAAGCACGAGAGGATTTAGCGATGATGACGATGATGTCTTACTGTTACTATTATTACTGTAACACAGGTGCTGGTGCTGTTCAAGTGTGATCCTTTCAGATCCTCACAACAGCCCTGTGATTTTGGTGCTATTAGCATCCCCGCTTCACAGATGGGAAAACTGAGGCTCTGAGAAGCACAGCGGGGATTTGAATACAGGCAGCTGAACTATGGGCCTGGACTCACAACACTACCAAGGACAACGGCAGTGTCCGCTCTCCTTGGGACCTTCCAGTGCCCACCGCTGCACTGCCCACTGCTGCCTGTTTGTGACTGGAGGTGCCCAAAACTGGGTGAATCATGATCTGTGGTCATGACACTCAGGAGCAGATGTTATCTTTGGTCCCGGAAGATCCCATACAGCCCAATTCCCTTTTTACAATGCTAGCACAAATAAAACTAACAATATATTCTTTAGGCGTACATGGCTATGTGAGAAAATCCTATAAAATGAAGCAAAGGAATGATAAACCAAGATTCGAGAGGGTTGGAGGGGGAAGGCAGGGAGGCAGAGGGGAGCACGTGGGTGTGGTTATAAGTTACTGTCATTATTCTCGCTCTCCCATTGGGTGAGGGCGTTTATCATGGTTTTAAAATGGTTACTTAGACCTTGCTGCCTCCCAGTTGAGGTTCTAGAAGGCAGACTTATTTCTTGGTTGGATGAACAGTTGGGAGGAAAGAAAACGAAAGACTAACCAAGGGTCCCTCCTCAGGATACAGGGAGAGAGAGAGACAGAGAGAGAAAGGGAGAGCAACTGAGAGACTGAGAGAGAGGAAGAGAGAAAGACAGAGAGAGAGCAGTCTAGAGGAAGGAACTGAAACCCCTGCCCGTCAAAGGCCGAGAGACTTAGTGCTCCCACTTCACCCTCACAGGGCTCTACCTGAGGAAAGCTGTTGGTTGCATGCTTTTTATATTTTATAATTTATTCGACTATCAAAGAAGGTGATAATGAAGTTAAAAAAGGGAATAGTTCTGATGAAAAATGTAGAGAGGAGAGGACAGAGATAGTTAAGATGTGGGATCTGCAGGATTTGATAATTATAAATTATGTTTACTAATTTAATTTGAGAAATTTCCTGAGAAAAGATCATGAAGTGAGAATAGTTTCTTTTGCTCCCTCCTTTGCCACAGCATTAGTGAAGTAACCATTTGTCCTCACATCACACCCCCTTCGGAGCACTTCCTAGATTTTCATTTGCGCACATGCCCCTCTCCCACAGGCTGTGTGATTCGAGGAAAGCCAAATAGTCACCTCACCCCCCTTGCCATAGGGATTGGCTTGTAACCCCAGAGGAAGCCACCAGTGTGCAACAGCTTTCTGGCGATGTGTTTGGTTTAGGAATAGTCATGTGACCTGATTTTGGCCAATGAAATATGAAGGGAGGTTTCTCGGCGCTCCTGGGAAAGATGCTTCCTTGCTTTTTTGAGAGATCTGCCAGAGGCACACACTCTCTCATTTTGGACAGGGTGGAGTTTGTATGTGAAGTTGGCTATAGTGCAGCTGTTTTGTCACCATGAGGGAAGCCAGCCCTAGGATAAAGAGACCCACAGAGGCAGAGTGGAGAGACACCAAGTTTTGAGGACATCATTGAGCCACGGATTCAAATCTGCCCTGAAGCCTGCCTCACGTCTGGCCTGCCCGGTTCCATGAGGTGGTAAGTCCCCTTTACTGTTCAGGATGCTGTGTGTTGGGTTTCTCTTGCTTGCAACCAAACCACCTTTGGAGCTTTGGACCGGTGTCTGACGGCTCAGCAATCAGGCGGGAAGAGCGGGCCTCTTCTTGGCTTCCAGCCTGGCCCGGGCCACCCTCTCTGGCCCCGCTGGGCATTGCCTTTCCTTGAAGTGGCCACCGGGGTGGGGTCACCAACCAGAACCACGTGGTTGGGGGTGGGGGGTGGGTGGCTGCTGGAGAAAAACTGGGGTGATGTGGCTTGGAAAAGGGGAAACAGATGCCCAATAGATAAAAGCGCTGGGCTCCCACCGTCGACTTTTTTCTTAGTCTCCGGGTCATTGTAGTGATTGAAGTGTGTCACGGAGGAGCCCAGGTCAGGCTGCCTTAATGGGAAGCTGGGCCCCTGCCTGTGACGTTCCCTCCACCTTCCTCTTGCCATGACTCTGATCTGAAGATAGGCAGTACGGTGGCTCTTTTGGGTAGAGACTTGCTGATTGATTCCAAAAGAAAACGTTTTACATGCAAGGGACCATGCAAGGGCGCTCCTTCCTCCCTGCTTCGGGAGGTGCTGCAACTTCTGAGGAAATCGGGGCCCGTTCTCTACCTGAAGCTGTTGTCACTGTGTCGTGAGATCTCAGAGCTGCGAGCTGTTCCTGGGGTGCGTCCCCCAGTCGGGGGCGTGCAACTGCGTCTGCCCCCGTCTCTCCCTGCGAACAGGTTGACATTCTCCTGTGACCTCCTATTAGTGTGTGTACGTTTGATTTTTACTTACCTTGCTGCACTGAATTTCAATAGTATCTCTTGTCTTTCTGAGTTCACTCCTCTCCGTCCGCTACCTTACAACGTCAAAACTGACAACAGGTATACTCTGTCCTCTCTCTGTAAATACGGCTTTGCCAGTGGGTTGATTCCAGGAGCTCAGAATCATTCTTACATGTTAGGACTGTAGACAAATGGCAATGGTGGCGCCAAGCAGTGGGCTCTGGTTACCCATCCTTCTCTTTACAGCAATGGCTTAATGGAACATGTGCAGACCTCTGTTTCTTTTGACTCTGTCTGTGGACTTATTGTGAGTGCTGCAGACATCACAGGAGACCCCCCCCCCCCCAGAGTGTCTCCCCATCCCTCCTGGAGGCCATGAGAGAGTGTGGACTCACCCTCTTCTTGGCCCAGGGATCTCAGGCCTTGACGTCCAGGTCGTAATTGGCCCCTGAGGGAACCTCCATGTCCATCTTCCCAGGTCCCATTTACTTGTAAATGGACAGGTGGATGGACAGGTGGCTCTCAGGCTCCAGTAGGGCATCCTGGCTCCTGTACGTGTTTGACTCATTGAGGGTGCTTCTGACACAGCTGTTGAATGGATTTGTTGTTGAAGGTGATGGATTTCCACTCTAGATCCCTGCAGAATTTCTGTACAGTAATGTTCCACCAAAAACATCTTTTGGGTGAACAGTAGTGTCACATTTATACTAAAGCTGGAAACAAGGAGCCCCACAAGCCAGCAGACCCCACCATCCTGTGGGCAGAGCATGGCCTTAGGAGAGAGTCGAGGCCTGGTTATACCCGCGACCACAGGACTAGGCGTCCTTCAGTACACTTAACCATGCGTGCTGCACACCCATTTCTGTTTTCTCAGCTAACCTCTCATGTGCCACTCTAGCCTCAGCACCTCCCAAATGCACCCAAAAGATAACCCTCCTTGTTTGAAGCATCAAGTCTCATTTCTAAGCCAATCACTGTCCTGGAGGTTGGGTCACTGTGATAGCCTGGACCAATCAGGAGGCTCACTCGGGCTGGGCTGATGCAGCACCCTAGAATCCTGGCCGGGAGGAAGAGCCAGCAGTGCCTGCCACACACATCTCTACCTAGTGAAGAAACATTTCTGAGTTTGTGGACAGTTTGTGTTTTTCTCTTGGGAGATTATATCTGTTCCTATCCTCTGCTCGTTTGGCCATATTTCCCCCTTCACTTCCTCACCACCCCCTTCCAGCCCTTTCCTCCTTCCTCCCCTCCCCGCTTCCTCCCTCCTGGGGACTTCCTCCCTCTGCCCACAGACACCCCACTTCTCAGCCGATTGTGTCAAGCAATTGGGTTCCCACTCCTCTGCCTTCTCGCCGGCCCTGCAGCTGCTCCTGACAGAACCAAGAAAAGGTAATTGCTAAACTAAAAGCTTTCCACTCCAGAAAACAACCAAGCCATCCCCCAGGAGGTGGCAACAGCCCTGGCCACTTAAGGTCTAATGACACTGTGTAAAATTCTCTTGTGCCACACTGTATGAGGACCCTCCTTCTCCTCCTGTCTTCCACGCTGGAGTCTGAGCTGTTGGAGGTAGGAACGGGCCTGACTTGTTTTGAATTTCTATTGTTTAGCATGGTGCAGGTGCTTAATGAAAACGAGGAAGGAAGGAGAAAAGGAATGATGGAGAGGGAACACCCTTGTGCCCACAGTCACTCCTGTGGCGACCCAGGATGCAGGAGTGTGGACTGGAAATGCCTCTCGTCAGGGGTTCCTGTCAGGTTTTTGTCTCTGGTGAAGGGGATCTTCTTTTCCTCTTTCTCCCTTTTCTCTCTACCTCCGTTTCCTTCAGCTATCTCTGTAGACTTTGCGAGTTAGCACATATACACGTGCTCGGTGGGGTGAAATGATCAGCTAAAATTGAATTGCAGTCCTTAGGAAACCCTCCCTTAGCGTTTTCTCAGGCGCCCTTATAGGTTCAGGGCTTGTAGTCTTTGACAGTTACCACGAGATGATTCAACAGTTTCTGTTTCCATTCACGGTCAGTTCATCCGGGCGGTGCGTGGGGCTCACAGGGGTGGCGCCGTGGCTTCAGGGTGGAGGTGGAGTTGTGATCCTGGCTCGGGTGTTTCCTAGAAGGAGGCTGGTTTCTGTGCTCTCTGCCTGTGGGGGTCTGTTCTTCACGGCCACCTTTCATCTGTGTGCATGCTTGGCGGTGGGTTGTACCTCACTCTTCAATGGAGAGGGAGCACTTTTGATTCTTGCTGTTTTCAACGAGGAGAGATGGATAGAGGGAGTTTATCCTGGGCTGGGCTGGAGGTGTTTCCTGAGCAAAATGACAGTAGGGCCCAGGCGCAGGTTTCTGCAGCAGAGCCATGCCTTGAAACCACGGCTGATTTTCAAATTCTTGTTAGTATTTCATTCCAGAATGTCGGTGCTGCCTGGAACCACGTGGTGGTCAAAGGTTAGGCGCCAAGAGTGTTCCTTGTCACCAGGGCACTCAAATTTGGTATCTGAAGATGTGTTTTCATTTAGACTAAAACTGATTTTCGATTTAGATTTTGAGAAAAATCATACAACCACTTTTTAAAAGTGGTTTTTAGTTTGTTGTGTTTTTTTAAAAGTTTTTTTAACACACAAAGGTCTTTTTTGTTTTTGTTGTTGCCTTGTTTCTTATCTCTTTTTAAAATAGACGTTTTATTTTTGAATAATTTTCAACTTATAGAAAAGTTGTAAAGATAATACAGAGCATTTCCACACCCCTCTCAGCAACTTCCCCTGTTGTTAACGTCTTTCATAACCACGGTACATTTGCCTAAACTAAGAAAGCAGCATTGGTGCATTATTATTACTGAAGCTCCCGGCTTTACTCGAATTTCTTTGTTTTTCCCTGGTGTCCTGTTTCCATTGCAGGATCCCATCCAGGATGCCACGTTGTGCTTTGTTGTCACATCTCCTTAGTCCCTTCTGATCTGTGACAGTTCCTCAGTCTTTCTGTGTTTTTCATGACCTTGACATTTTGGAAGAGTATTGGTCAGGTATTTTGTTGAATGCCCCTCAGTTTGGGTTTGTCTGATCTTTTTCTCACATTTAGGCTGAGGTTATGGGTTTGGGGAAGAATATCACAGAGGGGAAGTGCCCTTCTCGTCACCTCATATCAGGAGGTGCATACTATCAACATGGCTTATCACCATGACGTTCATCTTGATCACCTGGGCAGGGTAGTGGTTATCAGGTTTCTCCACTGTAAAATTACTTTTTCCTCCTGGGGAAGCAAGTCACTGAGTGCAGCTGACACTCAGGGGATGGTAATGGAGGAGTGGAGGTGTTTAACCACCCCCTTCTGGAGGGGAGAGTAGCTACACAAATTATTTATTACAGGAGACTTGTCTATTTTCCCTCATGTATTTATTTATTTATTTGAACTGTTTGTTTATATCAGCATGGACTCCTGTGTGTTTATTTTGTGCTTTGGGTTATAATCCAATAGTCCAATTTATTTTCTTGCTTATATTGCTGCAGCTTTGGCCATCGGGAGCCTTTTCTGTTCTCTCCTGTGTCCCTTTAACATGCCCCCATCATTTTGTGTTTTTTGAGCACTTCCTTTCTTTCTGATACTATAAGATGCTTTAGGCTCATCTTCTATTTTCCCTGCCCTTGTCCTAGAATCACCCATTTCTCCAAAGAAGTCTTGTTCCTTTTATTTGAGAAGAGTTTTTAGAAACCAAGATCTGTGCGTGAAGGTCTCATTCTCACATTAGAAAACAATGGCTCTATCGTAATTCCTTTTCTGGTCATCTACTTTCTTTCAATATTTTATATTTAGAAACTGTAAGCATATAGCAAAATTGAAAGACTTTAACATTGAGCACCCATTTATTCATTACCTAGATTCTATCATTAACGTATTTCTGTACTTGCTATAGCACAAATTTGTCCATTTAGCTATCCCTCTATCCACCATATGCCATTTTTTGGATGCATTTCAAAGTTGCAGACATAAGAATACTTCCTCCTAAATAATTCAGTATGAATATCATTAATAAGACTTCAATATGTGTTTAGGTCATTTTTTCTTGCTGTAAAATACAATGAAATGCAAAAACTTAAGTTACACTCTCAGTGTTTTCACAAATACATACACCTATGTAACCCAAACTCCCATCGAAGTGTAGAACATTACCATCACCCCAGAAAGTTCCCTGATGCCCTTCCCAGTCATCCCTGCCCTTACCCTCCCAGAAGTAACCATAGGTCTGTTTTTCCCTACTATGTTCTTCTTGTCTGTTTTAGAATTTAATATAAATGGAATCACATAATATATTCACTCAGCATATTTTTGGGGTATATTAATTTGATTTAATCCTATACAGCAATGAAAAAGAATGAACCACAGCTACAATAGACATTAAAATGAATCTTATTAGCCATGTTGAGTGAAAGAAGGCACACAGAAAAGAATACATGGTGTCTAATCTCATTTCTTTAATATTCAAATGCAGTAAAAAATAATTTATGGCGTTACAAGCCAGGAGAGCAGCTAACACTGGGCAAAGGAGAGGGAGACTGAGGGGAGATATGTGTGTGTGTTGTGTGCTGGTGACATAATGTGATTTTCCTTGACTTGGGTAGAGATTATACAGGTGTGTTTTCTTTGTGCTAATTCACTGGGCTATACATTTATGACTCATGCTTTTTTCTTGGTGTATTATATATTATTAAGGTGTTTTAAAAATAAGATACTAGTTCATGCCCCTCAATTTTGTGTGTGTATGTATGTGTGCGTGTGTCTGTATGGCAATACCATATCTACTAATTATCAATTGATATATGAAAAATTGCCTCAAAACTTAGCAACCTACAACAGTAATACCTGTTATCTCATACAGTTTCTGTGGGTCACGAATTTCAGAGCATCTTAGCTGGGTGGCTCCGGGTCTCTCATGAGGTTGCATGTGGGATGTTGGTCATATAAAGGCTTGACTGGGGCTAGAAGATCCACTCCCAAGATGGTCCGCTCACATGACTGTTGGCAGGAGGCCTCAGTTCTTCCCCATGTGGACCTCTTCACAAGGCTGTCCTCACATGATGGCAGCTGGCTTCCTCCAGAGCACTTGATCCAAGAGAGCTCAGTATAGTGTTTTCTAGATTAATATATGTCATTTATGTGTGTTAGTGGTACATTCCTTTCTGTTGCTAAGTAGTATTCCATTCTATGACTGGACTATAGTTTGTTTATCTGTTCTCTTAGTAAGGGATACCCGGACTGTTTCCAGTTTGGGCTTATTATGAATTAAGCTGATATGATCATTCTCCTACAAGAATTTTTGTGACTATTTCATTTCTCATGGGTAAATACCTAGGAGTGTGGTTCTTAGGTCACAGAGTAGGTATATGTTTAGTTTTATGAGAAATGGACAGACCTTTTCCAGAAGTGATTGTACTGTTTTACATTTTCACAACAAAATATGAGAGTGTCAGTTACTCCACATCCTTGTTAACATTTGGTTTTGTCATTAAAAAATTTTTTTTAGCCATTCAGGTGGGTGTGTGGTGGTATCTCATTGTGGTTTTGATTTGCATTTCCATGATGACTAATGACGTTGAGCACTTTCTCGTGCGCTTATTGGCCATTTGTATTTTTTTCTTTTGAGAAGTATCTGTTTGAATCTTTTGGAGGGCATCTGTGTGTTTGTGTGTGTGTGCGCGTATGTGTATAGTTTTGTGTCAGCACCACCACAGTCAGGATATAGAACTTTTCCATCACCGCACAGAAACTTCCTGTGTTTCCCCTTTAGAGTCAGATTCTCCCCATAACACTAACCCATGGCAGTCGCCGATCTGTTCTTCATTACTATCATTTTGTCATTTTGAGAATATTATAAAATTGAAATCATATGGTATGTAACCTTTTGAGATTGGCTTTCTTTTCATGTAACACCAGACCTTTGAGATCCATCCAAGTTGTTATGTGTATCAGTAGTTCACTCCTTTTCATTGCTGAGTAGTATTACATTGTAGGACTGTGTCACAGTTTATCTGTTGCCCAGCTGAGGCACATTTGGATTGTTTCTAGTTTTTTTTTTTATTTTTTTTTAATTTAATTTTTATTTATTTTAAATTTTTTGTTTATTGCAGTAACATTGGTTTATAACATTGTAAAAATTTCAGGTGTACATCATTATACTTCTATTTCTGCATGATTGTTTCTAGTTTTTGGCGATAGCAAATACAATTGCTATGAACATTCATGTATAAGTGTTTGTGTAAACAAAGGGTTTCATTTCTCATGGGTAAGCACCTAGGAGTGGGTTTGCTGAGTTCTATGATAAGTGTATGTTTAACTTCATATGACACAGTCAAACTTTTCCAGAGTGGCTGTACCATTTTTTATGCCCATCACCAGTGAATGTGAG